CACATGAGAAATGTTCTGAGCAGTGCTTCACAGCTGTGAGCAGTGCCAGCAGCAGGACAGGCTGGGCAAGGAGGGGGAGCCCCAAGAGGAAACCCCTTTGAGCCCCCCCCCAGCCCCAGCTACGCCCACAGAGAGCTCCCACCTTCTCCACGAGGTCACGTCCTGCCAGAACTCGTACAGGATGAAGCAGGCCTCGTCTGTCAGCTTGCAGGCAGAGACACTGTGGGGACAGGAGTGACCCTGAGCTGGGGGTGGGCACAGCCACACGTGCCCCACCAGCCCAGGCACATCAACCTCCCCACAAGGCTTCCCGAGCACAGTTCGGATGCATCCCGTTTGTGGCTGCTGGAGCACACAGCCCCAGGGGATTCCAAACCCAAATCGTGCCTCACAGCTCCTGTGTCCAGGCAGCAGAGGAGCTTTACAGCTTTCAAACTGCTCTTTGCTGCTGCTCAGGAATCAGAACAGTCAGTGTTTTATTATTTCCACATACCCCCAGCACTGGCACAGCTCATCCTTCCTGCCTTTTGGGGTAGGTGTCACCGCTCACCTGGAGAGAAACTGAGGCACAAGTGCAGGAGCTGAGCTCACAGCATGAACCCAAAGCTCGCTGCCCCCAGAGTGATGCCGTTGCCCCAGTGATGCTTCCCACACTCCCTCCTGCCCCAGGAACAGGCTGGGCCTCCAGCCCTTGGGAAGATGGGGGAGCAGCAGCAGGGGGGTGAGAGCACAAGGCTGGGAGTGCAGGGCTGGGGGAACCAACTGCACTCGGCTGCAGCAGCAGCAATTCCAGCTGAGGATGAGCCTTTCCTCCAGCTGCTGCCAAGGGCTGCTGGAGGGGGCCAAGCCCCAGGGGGACAGCAAACAACTCCCCCAGCAGCTCTGAGGTTGCATCCCCCTGAGGGGCCACGATGGGCTTTGCAATTCCCTGGAGTGAACCAGGACTGTGGAATCTCCCCGGGCTTGGCTCCAGCTTTCCACTCACGTGGAGAGCCTGCCCATGCAACGCCACCCCGTTGTCTCCACAAATAGCTCTCATGACAAAAAAAGCCCACCAATTCCAAAGAAAAGCACTCCCAGTCTCCCTGTCACATGTGTCACAACGAGCATCTTCCTTTTGTTTGGACCGAAAACGTGCATTTATGCTGCTGAAACTGAAGAGCTGAAAACCGACACTTTAAATGGGAACAGCACGAACGTTCCCTGCTGAAAGCGGCTCGAAATCTCCCGTGGGAGAAGGGAAGTGGCGCTCAGGGAGCAGCTGTGCCATCTCAGGGACAGGCTGGCAGTGACGTCCCTACAGGCAGACCCAGAGCCCTGGAGCAGTGCTGGGGGCAGCCCTGGCCTCATGCAGGGTCAGCTTCAGGTGCTCACAGCTGCTTCCCACACACGCCATCCATAAATCAACGCCCTGCATGAGCTCTGCCCTTGACCTTCCCGTTGCTTTCAAGTCCTTCAGTGCTGGAAGAGTTCGTGCACTCACTTACATGCACGTGCCATTCCTGCTGGCATAAAACCCACCCCCTCCTTCCCAGGCACTGGTTCTTACTGGGAATACCTGCAGCAGAAGCTGGGACAGTGCTGCAGCCGTGACACGCTCACCCTCTCTGCAAGGTCCAACCCCTGCGTGCTGAGCCCACCCTTGCACTGACCAGCACACGAAACTCTCCACAAAAACCCTTTTGTCCACCCCAAAGGTGCCATATTAAAGCCCCTATTTCTGGGGAGCCACCCCACAAACCGCCCCACAGCCCCCCCCACTTACTGCAGGCAGCTGCTCTGCCCGGCCGTGCCCTCGGTGTAGGAGCGGAATGCCTGCCGGAACTCCTCAATGCTGCTCGTGGCCACCGAGATCTGCCTCTTGGCCACCAGGATGTGCTGCCAAGGGACAGAAGGGCATCAGGGACTGGCCTGTCCCCTCCTGCCCTCCCTGCTCCCACCCTGCTGCGGGACACAGCGGTGCCAAGCACGCACAGCACCGCAGTGGGACTGGCACCACAATGCTGGGGACAATGGTGACATAAAGTGGCTTCTTCCCACCTGGGCAGGTTCCCTTTCCACTGAGGACTGCACCAACAGGAGATGCTCCATCCCCTGGGGGTGGGGTCCTGCTGCAGTTCCCTGTGTCCTTCCCACAGCAGAACAGAGTTTGGGAACCCCTCCACGTGGGCTTTGCACGGAGCACACCGGGGGGATTTGGGCACTCACAAGCAGAGCATCACCTTCTTCTGGGCTGGCTGTGGGCACTGCCTGGGGCTCTCAGGGGCCTGAGGGAGCTGCATTTGTCCTGGGCATGGTACCACAGCCGGTTCACAGCCCTGAATCCCACCCTGCTCCATCACCAGGCTGCAGACACCTCGTCAGTCCACAGGCAGAGCTCACCCAGTCTCAGGGCACAGGAGCTGTGTGAGGGGGGATCTGTGCACATTTGGGGGTTACCTGCAAACAAGGAGCAGCAGGACAGGGACTTACTGCATCTTGTCCTTTGCACATGGATTCCTCCTTCAGCGGCTCCAGGCGTGGGCTCTGCATTCGACACCATGGGGAAAATCAGAGTTACTGCAACGAGGCAACCCTGGAACCCACAGCCCAGCTCAGGGGACAGGCAGGTGCACTGGGGATGTTCCTTGGGTGCTTGGGGGAGGACAGGCATACGACCTGTGGGGTTGGTGGGTCCTGACTGACTTGTCAGATCAGCAGGACCACAGGAGGGTCAGCAGAGCTGAGAGGAGAAGGGTGGCTCTGGAGACTGAAAGTCTAGGTCTGGTGAGTGGGTGCAGCTCTGTGGGGATGCCAGGACCAAACATGGGGGGTGCTGGCACAGGGAGGGGCCCCAGCACCGACCTGGCCGTGCCAAGGTGTGGGGCAGCCCCCAGCAGCTCTCCTTGGCCACACACCTTGCACTCCAGCTTCTCGATGAGCTGCTGGAGCCTGTTGATCTGAGCCATCCACTGGCTGTTGTCCTCGACACAAACACCTGCATGGCAAAGGGCACCAAGAGGTCACCAAAAAAACCCTCAATTTTGTCATTGCAAAAGCTTGCTCAACACCCAGGAGACCAATGGTCTTCTAAAAACCTCTGATTTAAACCAAAAAAACCTGATACTTCCTGCTGAAAACTTCTCCCACTGCCCAAGAGATACAACACCCACGGAAGCTGGCATCTTGGTGAGGTGCTCCAGGCTCCATCCCAGAGCTGCCCAGTGACGCTGTAGATGTGGCACATGGTTTAATGGTGGGCTTGGCAGTGCTGGGGTAATGGTTGGACTTGATCATAGAGGTCTTTTCCAACCTTAACGATTCTGTGCTGATCCCACACCCATTCCAGGCCCCAGAGGGGCACAAACCAACCCCAGGGACACCAGGGATACCAGAGACACCAGGCTGCAGGTACCTGTTGTCAGCATCCCGGAATAGGGGTCTGTTGGAGACAGACAGACGTTCTTCTGTCCTCTGCGCCCACACCGTCTCCCTGCCCTCGGGCCAGCTGAAGTCTCAGATTTCTTTGTGTCCTTTCTGGAAGGATAAAATGCGGAACAAGGGGGTTGAAGTCGTTCCCAGAGGGATCAGCTTCACGGCGGGCTTGGAAAGGGCAGATCCTGCTCTGGGATGTCCCTCCCAGGGAGACCCCGTCCCATCCCGCACCCCCACGAGCGGGGCTGGGGGACCAGCACGTCCCACCCCCGTTACCTCTCCCGTCCCGCCTGCTCCTCCACGGTGTCCACAGCACACTCCAGGGACGCCTGCAGGGACTGCAGCTGGTGCATGGTTTCCCGCAGCAGGAATCTGGTCAGGAACTGCTCCATCTTCGAGGAGGTCTCGTACCTCTGCGGGGAAGAGGAGAGGATCTGTCAGGCGCCTCTGACTCCATGCGGGGGAGCAGAGCCACACCTGGGAGGGGTTGGCCCTTAAATAAACTCAAAGGGGTGGATGTCAATCAAATTTTTAGTTATTTCAGGAAAAAGTGGCACTATAGGGCAGAAGAACCCTCTGGGCACCTGCCTGTGAGATCACAACAGGGAACACGGGCATGGTTCCATCTGCACTCCAGCCATAGGACCCACAGCCCCAGCCCCAGCAGTCTCAGCCCTGGCCCCAGCACTCTCACCTCTGGGAGCCGTGGAGGAGAGCAGATGGACACAAGCCACAAGGTAAAGGGACTGTCCCCAGCTTCAGGGAGGGTTCCAGGGCTGGCAGAGCATCCCTCGTGCCCTCCCTGTTCACACAAAGGCTCTGCTCACAGCAGGGCTCTCGGGACAAGGCTGGGACCCCACAGCGATCCCCCAAGTGCAGGAAGCCCCTTCCAGGAATCCCTCACCACTGGCAGGCCAGGATAGGGGCTGGCTTCATGCCCTCTCTCCCTGGGAAGACAGTGCCAAGCCTCTCTGCTCCCACAAAAGGTTCTGTGATGAATGTCTGACATGTGCTGGTGTTCAGGGTCACCCCACAACCCTTCCCCATGTCACTCATCGAATGTGAGTGAGTGACAGCCCCTGTGAGCCCCAACCCACCTGTCCCATGGCACTGGAGGGGTGTCCAGGAGGAATATGGGTCCGTGTGCCCATTCCCCACCACCGTCCTCCTGGATCAGAGGTGCAGAGTGAGCACCAGGGGAGAATGGCCTCCTTTGACCTCCTGGCCACGCTCCTTTGGATGCAGCCCTGGATTTGGTCCAACCACTTGACTCTCCTGTCCAGTTTTCCCTCACTTCCTTAAAACCACTCAAACCAGTCCTTGCACTGCTAGAAAATCTCCAGGCCCCCAGGGAGGGGGAAGAGGTACCCAAGGAGGGATGCTCAGTGAACGTGGAGCGAGGAGACAGGAGGAAAGGCTGCGACACGTACCCAGACACTTCTAGAGCAGGCACTGCTGTCCTGCAGTGGGGCTGAGCCGCTCTCCCTTGCAGAGCAGGTACCTGGGCCTGGTTTGGCTTCATGAGACCCCTCTCGTCCCACTGCAGGCTCTTCCTCCCTCCCCGGCATCCCTCCGGAGTGCCAGCCATGCTGAAGCCTGCAGTCATCATCGACAGCGGCAGCAGCTTCACCCGGGGTGGCTTTGCAGGGCAGTGGCAGCCCCAGTTTGTTCTAAGGACTGTGCTGCTGCACCCCTGCAGTGCAGGCCCCAGGAGGGACACCCAGCAGCATCCCACTGCCACGGGAAGCACGGAAGGCTGCGCCGCAACACCCAGGTCCTGCCCACTCAAGCACGGCATCGTTGAGGATTGGGACGGCATGAAAAGCCTGTGGGGCCACCTCTTCTCCTGCAGCCTCAGAGTCCCGCCAGAGGAACACCCGGTGCTCCTGGCTGAGTCCCCATCCTGCCCTGCCACCGACAGGGTAAAGGCAGCCGAGGTGTTTTTCGAGAGCTTCGGGGTGCCAGCCCTGTACGTGGCCAACACTGGGTTCCTGTCTCTCTGCGCCCACGGCAGAGTCACCGGGCTGGCCGTGGAGGCTGGGGCGGGAGTGTCCCACGTCACCTCCGTCTGCCTGGGCCAGACCCTCAGGAAGGGCACCCAGCGCCTGGGGGTGGCCGGGGAGCTCCTGTCCAGCCACCTGCACCGGCTGCTGCTGGAGAGCCCCAACCAGCCCTCTGCGCTGCACGCCCTGACGAGGAAGACGCTGTCCCAGCTGAAGAAGCAGTGCTGCTACGTCTCCCTGGACTACGAAAGAGACCTCCAGGACCAAGGTTGCCATCATCCAGCCAGATTCCAGATGCCAGACGGGCACTGGATAACCCTGGGCAAGGAGCGGTTCTGCTGCCCAGAGCCGCTCTTCCAGCCCAAGCTGCTCCAGCACAGCTGCCCCGGGCTGCACCAGCTGGCCTGGCAGAGCCTCCAGACGGTGCCCGACCACGCCAGGAGGGACATACTGGCCAACATCGTGCTCTCAGGTGGCTCCTCCATGTTTCCTGGCTTCCCAGAGAGGATGTGCTTAGGGTTGAATCTCCTTTCCCAAGGCACGGGCATCCAGATTGATGTCCTGGCGAGCCCGGAGAGGGGCACGGCAGCCTGGGTGGGGGGCTCCATGGCAGCGTCTCTCACGTCCTTCCAGCGCGCGTGGTTGACAAAGGGCGAGTACCAGGAGCTCGGAGCTGAGTGTGTGCACACCAAATTCCAGTAGACAGATGGCAGCCATCCCACTGTCAAGCTACAGCAGGAGGGACTCCAAAATACCACCTTTGTGTGGGCAGAGCTGCGGCAGCGGTGACCGAGGGCAGCTCCCGCACTGCCACAGGGGTGCAAAGTCAATTAAAGCGCTCCAAAAGGAACAAGCTGCTTCTCATTGACGCTCTGGGTTACATCTGTGCCCATCCACGGCAGCAAAGCTGTCCTTTCGTGATGGAAACGCAGCTGACAGCACAGGGAAGGGGGCTGCTCCAGCTGTCAGCACAGCAGGACCCCCAAGGCCTGCGGAGAGCCACAGGGATGGGAGGGAGGAGCTGAGGAGGGGAAGGTCCATGCAGTGACTGCACTGCAGCCACTTCACTGCAGCAGGCAGTTCCACATCCCAGCACTGCAGCAGCTCAGGGCTGGGTGTGGAGATGAGCTGAGAACCAGGGAACTGAATTCGCTCCTTGTAATTTTGGTACAAAGGTCATTTGGTGCTTCAGGGAGCCGATTCAGCTCCCTGAACAGGCATTTACTCACCTGGCTTTGCTGCTGCTTCAGTGAACTGGCTCAGCTCAGCAGATGATTAGAAAAGGATCAGAAGTTTCATGGGGGAGCAGCTGGGGAGCACAGCCCAGCTGGCACAGCAGCTCCCTTCCCCAGGCCAGACCCGTTCCAGCTCCTCAAGGGACACAGACAGGACTGCAGTGGGAAGGAGTCTCCACACGATGCAGGAAGGCTGGTTGCTCCACACAAGCACCCACCAGGAGAGGTCAACCCCTCTCCTTGACAAGACAAAGAGGCAGATGAACATCCCCTCTGCCTTCTCTGTGGTGTCCTCATGTGACCCCAAGGCTGTGGCACAGACCCAGAGCCAGGCTGCCTTCACCCCCCACCCCGAGCTCCATGAACCATGGCCAAAGAATGTCCAGCAATGCCACCACATTACTCAGGTCAAATATTTCCAATTCCTGCTGTGTTTCTCTCCAACACACAGAGGATCTGGAATTCCAGAAGCTCTGTGGAGAAGCATGTGGGCATAACCCTTCCATTGCTGGTGCCAAAGGAGGGGAAGGGTGGGGAAGGCCTTGAGCCCTTCGTGGTTTTCTGGTTGTTCTGTGCCACAGCCAAGCCACCAGCCCAGTCCAGGAGCTGCTTCCAGCTGGGCACAGCTGTGGCTGGCTGGGATGGGAAGGTAAGTGGAGAAAGTGGAGAGGATACTCATCCCCTGAGCACTGCCCTGGGCTCGTGCTGGAGTTGGCAAAGGAAAGCCACAGCCATCCCCCAGTACCAGGGTAGGCAGAGCAGCCGGGGGGGTTCATCCCTGCTGGAAAATCAATCCTGTTTTCCTGCCAGAGGAAGAGGATGGCAGCGGAGCCGGCACGATGCAGCCACGGGAAGCTGAGCTCCAGCTCTGCATCTCTGGGCTGTCCCCTGCCAAGCATCCCACCTGATCCCACAAGACTTCCTCCCCCACGGCCCCAGAAATGCAGAGCACAGGGCTGGGGACCCCTGCCCAGCCCTCCCCACTCCCTTCCTGACAGCACCATTTATCTGTGCCTGCCCAGCTCCTGCCAGCCCAGACACACATTCCCTGCTCACAAGGAACAGCCGACACTCCAATCTCCCCGGGACACACCTGGGAAAGCAGCTGAAGAGGAGCACTGAGTGAGGCCCCAGTGGGGCACAGAGGGTGCATTATTCACCCACCACATGGCCTGGCACAGCCCGTTTCACTCCAGGAGCTGGTCCAAATCCAAACACTGGTTACCTCCCTGGCAGCAGAGAGGCATTTCTACCAGCAAGCAGCCTCCACAGCCTCCACAGGTGAATGAGGTGTGTTCCCACCTCCAAGGTGTCATTCCCAGCCCCAGCCTTGGCATATGAACCTTCGCCTTACATGGGGGTTGGATGCTTCTCCTCCAGCACATCACTCCCCTTCCAAGGGCCAGGTGCTGGGAGAAGCACCAAGCAATCCTTCCAGCCCCCTCCATCCTCTCAGCTTTCACCCTGAGAGGGCTCAAGCCTCGTGTCCTTCACGGATGATGTGGGTGGATGGAGTTTTAGGGCAGGAGCAGGCGCTGCTCCCACTGACATCACAGCTGTGGGGGGCACCTCGAGCCTGCCCTGAGCCCCACAGCTCCCCCAGTGCAGTCCTGACACCCCAAACACACAGGCACAGGCACCAGCCTGGGGTGCCACCCCCCAAAACCCAACTGCCAGCCCGGGGCAGGCTGTGCTCGGAGGGGACTCGGCTCCGGAGGGTCCCACATGGAATGTCAGGACTGCACAGGATGAGCAGCTGCCTCCTGTCTCTCGCCCTGTCACACACAGCACACCCAGGGGAATGTGCTGGAGGGAAGGATGGAAATAACCATCCCTCCAGAGAGCCCCAAATGCTGCTTCACCCAGCATCAACCCGAAAAATTTCATGCCAGGCGAGGGAATCAACCAAAAACCACATCTTTGCTTCAAGCCCAGCTGCCCAGCCCTCCTTGCACCCCTCATTGTAGGGCAAACAAGCAAAATCCTCTCATCAGGAGCTGCACCACGTGGGTCAAACCCTCTGTAAAGAGAAGTTCAATGAAAATGTGCTCTGGCTCACCAAGCACAGTGTTTTCTGCTCACAGGGAAGCCCCGTGGACAGGACTCACAGAGGAAATAACCCAGCAAGCACAAGACATGGAATTCTGGCCATGGACTAATATATCAGTTCTGTTTACCCAGATGAAAATCCCCAGCTTGCCAGGAGATGCTATAATGCTGCTTTTGAGGGGTTTTATTACTTCCTTATGATGATAGTTAAGCTCAGGACAGAATGGAATAGGTGGTCACATTCCTGCCAAAGGAGAAATAATAGCACCTGGCTTGGAGAGGCATTTATGGGCTGGTTTGCAGTGTTTGCAGACTGGAGAATGGAAAGATTTTAGCATACAGGCCCCCTGGGAGAAATATCAGGCTGTTTCCCAAGGTATTTTCACAGTTCACTTCCTACTCTGCTGCTATTACATGGCAAACATGAAGTTCAGCCACAAAATGAGGTGTAATTAGCACACTACAGCACAGCTACCAAGTTACACTCCACAAATATAAGTGGGAACGCCTGAATTTGGAGAAAAAACCCTCTTTTCTTTACCATGTTCCTACCAGCCCAGTGAGGAAGGAGGGAAGCATGGGGACCCCTCATGCTTTGGCTTCCTCCTGCCCACCTGGAGTCACATAAAAGTGGCCACGAGCAGCTTTGCTGCCCCCCACACACAGAGTGTCCTGCAGTCCCACAGTGAGGACAAACCCAGCTTGCATTTCTCATGCTCTATCCCAGCATTTATCCTGCAGCTGACAAGGGACATGGCAGCAGATCCAGGAGCCTGCCAGCCAGGAGACAGCTGTGGAGACAAGTCATTGATCCATGCCATGGATCCTGGCCCGCAGGGGGTGGGAATCCTCCACACCAAAGGGGCTTTTGGCACCACAGCTGCCAAATGCAGAGCTGCAGAATACTCCCTCCAAGCTTTGCTTTCCTTATTTCCCTCCTTGCTGCAGCTCATGGCCCTGGCACGGCCCGAGCAAGCCCAGCACATCCCCCAGGCTCTGTTTCTTGTGCCAACGAGGCAGCCCAGGTTCTCTGAGTCTCTTCCTGGTTGTAAAGTAGGGTTTTATTTACAGGAGCCTGTTTACAGCTGTGGGGAAGTACCTGCAGGATGCAGGGGTGAGAAATCCTGTGGCAGCAGCAGCAGCAGGAAACTGGAGATGGATAATGCCCTGACCAAGAGATGCTGTGGCTCAGCTGGTGAGACCCAGGACAAGCCAGAAATCCCCCTCCCCTTCTTCCAACCAGTCTGGACATCACTGCCTGCTCAGGAGTCACGTCAAGTCCTCTTAAATACAGCCTGGGAAGAACATCTGCTGCCTGCAGAGCCCTGATCTGGAGGCAGAGCTCTGTGGGGAGGGTTATTGGAGCAGGCAGGTCTCTCCCAGTTTCCTCAGAGCACTACAGCTGCAGCCCCAGCACAAGTAGCTCCCTGGGAATGGTTCCAGGGATTCCCACTCTTCCATGGGGCCAAAATGGGGCTCTCAGACCTCACCCCGGGGCATCCCAGGAATGAATCAACAGAAACAAGGGGCAGGTGTAGTATGGAAGTCTCTGTTCTCTGTCCCCACCCCTGGCTCACTGAGGTGGGAGTTCTGCCTAAAGTCCAACCAAATAAAGCCACTCATCCCATAGTAACTCAAGCTCGAGTCCAATTCTGGAAATACAAATCTGGGAATATATTCAGGTCACAGCAGGTAAGAAGGTAGCATTTATCATCTCTGGCAGCCTCCAGGATGGCAGGTGTCCCACAGAACTCTGCTCACAGGGTTGGAGCATCATCCCTTCCTTCCTTCTCCCCAAACCAGAGCCCAGCAGGCCAGGGGATTGCACAGAGATGATTCCCAGGAGGGTCAGTGTCTGCATCAGGGCACTCAGCAGCTCAGGGCTGGGATCAGAGCACCTGATCAGCACAGACCTCACCTGGGAGAGGGCAGTGCTGTGAACACTGGGCTGCCCCAGCTCCGGGCAGATCCAAACAGGTGGAAAAACGAGTCCACAAAAGTCTGTTCCAACAGGGAAAACCTGCTTCTCTTTTCCAGGGAACACCAGTGGCAGCAGAAACTATGAAGTGAATGAATGCATCACACCAGGACTGTGAAGCAGACAGTGACTGTGCTGTCCTTTGGAGAAATACATGAATATACACATTCATTACCCACAGAAAAACAGAACAGAAGAGAGCTGAAATAAAGCATAGCTCTCTGGAGAGGATTCCTTCTCTCCCTCTGGACTTGCATTTAATAACTGAGAAGGGGGCAGGACAGCTGAACCAAAGAGAAAATGCATTTTCAAGTGATTCCCTCTCCTGGCATGAAATTTCCCGAGGTACAGGGAGACGCTGCCAAGTCCAGGTCTGGGCAGAGGAAAACTCAGAGAGAAGGACTGACACTACAGAGGCACAAACACCTCTGTGATGACTG